GAGGAGGAGGAGGAGGAGGAGGAGGAGGAGGTAAGGAGGTGAACCCGGTACTGTTCAGCAGTAGGCTACTGTATTTGATCATTTAGTGTGTGGTGTATATGAAATACATCCATAATAATTCATCATTAATCACTTAAGTGGGACCAATAAGAAAGCCCGTTTTAACCACGTGGTCTGTGTGAACCGTTTTCATTTTTTATTAACGGTAAAATGATTCAATTAATGAATTTTTCAAACCCAGACTGGCCTTGGCTCGTTTTTTGTGAAGAACACGATGTATCAGGATACATTTTTGATGAGCACACACCTCACGAGCCCCCGGGACTAGAACCAGGAATAAGGAAATATGTCATCAGAAGCCTGGGGGTGTCAGTGGACACCACCGCTGTTCAGTATTAGTGTAAATAAACTACGTAGTTTACCAAGATAAAACAGAGAAAAACCCCTGAGCCAACCCCAAATAAATGGAGTTCCCTGTTAGAGTCACAGGTACACATGGCAACTAAAGGAACAGATTAGGAACTTAGGGTAAGAACAAAGTTTATTGTAAATATAGTTTAAAACCTTCAGAATAAAAGCACCTGTCCAAATAGTAACAAAACAAAACCAAAACTATTAAATAAAACCCCAAGTGACAAAGTGCAGTTTGGACCACTAGGACTGACTGCTGGAAACGAAATTAAGGGAATAATATAAGCACAAAACCACTGAAATTAAACAAACATTAGTCTCCTACTGGTGATTTAACACCACCGTACACACAGCTAATTATATAGCTGTAATACCAGCAAAACAACCCCCCCCCCCCATATATATATATATATATATATATATATATATATATATATATATGCCCACACAGGCTGTTATGCACCACAAATCATGGAGGGAAACGGTGCGTTTGATGACCTACTACAGGGTGGGAAAACCTCTTTGTCAGCCCCAAACACTTCAGTTCTGACCTGAGTACACGTCTATTATAGCTTTTACAAAGAATATGAAAGTGTTTTTAAATCACGTATTGAACAACAACGTAAACCCTGTGTGTATTTAAGAATCGGGGAGAAATAGTTCGCCAAAACGGGATTTC